TCTGATTGGTCAATAAAGCCTGTTCTGCTGTACCGGTCTTTTACCTATTAGGGCTCGGGTATTCTACAGTGGCGTCGGATCAGGGTGCAGACATGATGGACCACCTGGCCTCAGCCAATCCTGTGTCTCTTTGTGTTCCAATGGCATAGGAGGATGATAATCAGCCAACCAGAGAAGGACACGACTGAGGAGCAGTATATAATGAGCGGCGTGGCCAGCGTGGCGAACTCGGATGGAAGGCGCCTGACGCGTGGCTCTGGCTTCTGACTGGTCAATAAAGCCTTTCTGTTGTACCAGTCTTTCTACTATTAGGGCTCGGGTATTCTACATTAGTGGCAGCGAATGCGTGTCAATAACGCAAATCGAACCTCAGCCCATTCTCTTCAATGGACAACAGAGGCGAAGACCCTTCAATGCCAGCTGAATTTGTCAGGGCGTTCATCCGATGTCCAATAAAGCGGATCCATAGACATTGTCCGGGATTAGGACTACTGCATCTGAAGAGGCATTGGCAACTCAGCGACGACGACTTGGACAGTGAAAGCCAGCTAGACTGCATCTGCGAATGGACCTTCGATGGATGATGAGTCCTTCCTGCAAGTCTACAAGAGCAAAGTCCCTCGTCAACTATTCGCATGGGCCACTAACCTGACAGATGTGGGGTGCGGGGAGTTTCGAACTTGATATTTTAACAAAACTGGATATCAGCAACAGTGCAAGGAACCAAGCCAGAAGGTGAGGACAGCTTCATTGCTGAGGGGGAGACAGTGTGGCGTCGGATCAAGGCGCAGACATGTTGGACCACCTGGCCTCAGCCAATTCTGTGTCTCCGCGATCCAATGGCTTGTGAGAAAGAAAGGCAGCCAACCACAGAAGGACAGGAATGAGGTGCAGTATATAATGAGCGGCGTGGCCAGTGTGGTGGACTCGCATGGAAGGCGCTTGACGTGTGGCTCTGGCTTTTGATTGGTCAATAAAGCCTTTTCTGTTGTACCAGTCTACTTCCTATTAGGTCTCGGGTATTCTACATAAGAATCCACGCTACCTATTCCACTACATGGGCGGTAGTTCAACCAAAGGACCAACAGATTTCTTTCATTTCTTCAACAATTAACGAAGTCTGAAACTGGTTGAAATTACACTGTCGGCCATCTCTTTCGCTGTTTAATGATAAATTTCCAACAATACTTACCGTATGCAGCCCATTATCGTTCTCTCTAACCACTATATCGAACCACCTCACTAGAATGAGTGATGTACAAACTGTAAGCCCCCTGGTTGATCAGGCTAATTAGATTGTTAGCACAATCCTACACCCTGTAATCCCCTCCGACATTTCCTTCTCTTGACCTTTGCAGATCTGTTAACATTGAAGGATTCCTAATTTCACAACTTCTTTCAAGTTGTCCTCTGCCCCGTATTCATTTAACTATCAAGGAACTATAATCCTCTAATAGTCCCAGGTTATTTAGTTAGGTTTTTAGCTGTATCAAAGGCTTCTAAGTCCGTGAGTTTGAACAGTAGACATGCATGTCTTAAAGTAGAAAAGACTGGACAAGGAAAAACGCTATCACGGAAATGCTGTGATCTTGTAGGACATCATTAGCTAAAGATTAGTTTTGTAGGAATCACCTTAGTGAAGTATTGGAAGGATGTGTCTGAGAGTAGGCATGCAGCATTGGTGAAGACGTTGGCGGAAAATAGGGAGGTGAGACCTGTAGTGCTATCACATTGCGACGGCAGTTATACCTTTGTGTGGAATGCTGAAATTGAGCTTTTGTATTAAGCTGACGAAAAAACAAAAAAGTTTGTGGCCAATTACTTGGGTGATAATATGCTGGGAGCATTTTGTACTCCTAAGCATTGTAGCAATGTGCGTTTGTGTGGTTCAATACACGTGTCTTTGTGCGTAAATTCCATCCTAAGTCAAAAATCAATGTGATTTGCATTGGACCAGCATGGTACTTGAGAGAGTGTGATTTCCATAATCCTCATTAGGAGGGCAAAATGTTTGTAACGAGCTCAGATACATTACTGTGGTGCAGTTTAAAGAATGCATTTTGAATATTCGCCTTTTTGAAAGGAGATTAGATAATTATTTATGCTGTTCATGGATCAGCAATCCGTGTCTGTGATCTCAAGTATTAAAAACATATATCCTGTCACTATTATGACTGGTAGATGTGTAATTTGCACCCGATATGCCTAGCATGCGTGATGAAGCAGACTACAAACAAGCTAAAATCCCATTAACCAGAGTACCTAAGTTTTGCATGCTTCATTACTAGTCACTGATTCTGGTAATAGATTTGCCGTGCATTCTCAATTAAGTGACCTAATCAATTTGCATTCTCCTACGTTTCTCGTGTGATTATTATTTTTATTATTAACTGTCGTAGACAGCAGAATGAAGCAAGGGAAGTTTGTTGCTCTTGTCGTAAGGGAAGAATTAACAGAGCGAGTGCCGATGTTGATGAACTGCGATTATAAAACACAATATGCGCATAAATAGATTAAGTATGCACAAATCGGCAAAATTTACAATTTGAGATCTGGTTTCACATCATCGATAACTGTACGTATTCCACAATCGGTAGTTTTGTTAAAAATAGGGGGCAAATTGACATATAAAACGGCAAATTCTAGGTTAAAGCTAAAGCTGACTTGTTAGAGTTTCCAAAAAATTTTAGGAACTGCGGGTTGACTGCATAATCCACACCTGATTGAGATATCCAGATTATAATTTTGGAAGAAGGCCCGAGTTTGCATTAACATTTGCATTTTTCAAAATTCACAAAAAATGACTTGAATATACAAATGGATAGATGCACAAATGCGAAACAGCATGCACTTTTGCTAGTTAAAAACTAACAAGGCAAAAAATTGGTGCCTATTAATTTCTGAAGGGTCTTACTTGCCGTGGTTTAATTGCCGCAAGAATGGTCAGTAGAATACATACTTGCTGAGAGAAATCCCAACCGTAAGGACTTCATTGAAATGGTGTGAAACTGCACAGCCGTTTATTTTTTGTCATGTGTGGCTTTAAAAAAATAATTCCTTTTTTCCTGAAGGAACCCTTCGTGCGTGGAATTTGGTATAAATTTTTAATGTTTTTCAAGTAAGCATTAGAAAAAAATTAAAGCGTAAAAAGACATTAATTGTTTATTTAAAGCATTTAAAAGGGTGTAGGTAAGTTAAACCTTAATGAAATGCAGTTTGTAGCATAAGTTTGTTCTCGATGAAAGTTTTATTTGACCCTTTCATTCGCGGCAATTTCAGTTAAACCCCCTCTTTGGTGAGGCGCCTCATAGGGCAATGCACAACCAGGGTTGTAACATTCCAGCCTTCCTTAGTAAACTGAAGATCCTCGTAGACGACCCTCAGACAGATGAACTTATATATTGGGACTCGGTAAAATTCCATTTTACGTTATCTTGCCATAGTCTGGGCGGAGTTTCCACATCCGTGATGGAAATCGCTTGGCTAAAGAGATTTTGCCACTGTTTTTCAAACACAATAACCTATCAAGTTTCATTCGGCAGCTTAATATGTGTACGCTAAGATATATATATATATATATTTGAATTTGTGATTTTTTAGATGGATTTAAGAAAATTAACCGTGCTGATCCCGTTTTGGGGTTATCATCGGACATCGAAGACATGGAATTCAGTCACACTTACTTTATTCGACACAATACAAGTTTGTTAAGCAAGATACATCGAAGACCTCCAAGTTATAACCTTGCTGCGAATTTGCTTAATAGTCATTTATGCAATAATGCACCTGTTAGCACAAGCACTGTTCAAGACCATGTTGCAGCCAATGGCTCTCATCGAATAATCCTCGGAACGGAGTTCAACCGACTTTCAGAACTTGTTCGTCAGATGAGAGCGCGCCAGGAATCAACAACTCACCAAATGCATGTCTTGCGCTCAGAAAATCAACTGTTGTACCGTGAAATGGCACACCTGCGTAACCAACTTGAGCAACAAGGCCAACTCATACAAACGGTAACTAACATATTTGTGTTACCTTTTAGCTTTTCAACTTCTTGTCTGCTATTGCAACGGAGAGAAGAAATTCTGGTATCAGAATTGGCTCTGGGAAGCGCAAACTTGCTCTTACGGATATGCCTTCGGTTTCTGACAACCAGACCGACCTAATGTATGATTGGGACACTAAAGTGATATCAGAGAAAGCGCGTCTTCTTGCCGCGAACCCACAGATTCAAAAGATGCTTTTTGCGCAGCCTAGTTCAGCCCTGCCTGCTACTTCCGGTAGGTGACTTTGGTTATTTGCCCATTTTGTGCATTAGATGGTGCTTGTGTTTTGTCGAGGTGCAATTCGCCGCGCGTCCAGGTTATTTCCAATCCCAGCTCCTCCACGCCAGTCCTGTCGTCATCATCGATTTTGGCAATCCAAGACGCTTCATCCCCAAAGCGTCCACGTACCGATTCGTCCGTCGTTCATAGGATTCTTCCTAAGGAAGATCTAAGCAATACTTCAATAACAGCTTCCATTCCTGATCTGCCTTGCCTTGATGTGCGTGAATCAGTCAATGAAGATGCCGAGGACGGTCAAGATTCGACGGTGAGTCGTTTCAGCCAGTTTTCTCCCTCCTCTACTTTCCACCTTGGTTTCATTTTGTGTATTTTAATTTAATAGCCGTTCCACTACAATCCCCACTGCTCCGATCAGCCTCATCTGGTTGATATTGACAGCTTTGATCAGCAGACTCCTTTGTCGCCAATTGATTATCAATTGTCGTCTATAGAACCCACTGTTCAGTCAGGCCAAAGTGGTGACGTCGAGGTTTTCCCCAACGCCTTTATGGATCCATCTCAACGATTCATCTGTGATTCCAGCACCGACGAATCTTGGCTGCCTCCAGCACCTGTGGATGTTATGGATGGAAGTGTGCGACGCAACGCGACACGTTCCAACACCCGTAACTCGTCCAAACTCAAGACATCCACCAAATCGCCCACCCGCCGCAGTTCGACCATTAAGGAGTAAGTAATGTCCCCATGAAAGGTTGTCCGACGGGCTCCTACGACCGAGCTAACGCCTCTTTTGCAACTAGATCCTCTCCGACACTGACTAACATTCACAAGGAGGACAATCTGTCCGCGTTCTACCTGCGCAATCATCACAAGGTTTCGTCCACTTCCCTGGGGGGCTCTCCACAGAAAGCTGACGTCAATTCCTCAATGCCTGTCGGTAGTGATGAGGCTTTTGTCTGGGAGGACGTGGTCGCTGAAGAGTCGGTGGGCAACGATTCTCCATCAGTCCACGGCAACGCAGGTGCGTCACGCCTTATTTGCATGTCCAGATCTTGTGATCTGTCTGGCTCTTGAGGTTAACGATAAGGTATTCTAACCAGAAGTGCGTATCAAACCCCTCTCCCCACCTCCTTTATCAAACGCACCGTCTTCGTCGTCGTGCGATAGCTTTCTAAGCGAGCTTACCCATGGAAACCTAATACACCGTCAAATGAGTAATGTAGGTGCGAAACTAGACGGGCCATGTCTTGTTTGTTTTTTGAAAAACTAGTGTTGTGCGCAAATACAGATCCCTTCTAAGCGCATTAAACGAGGTCCAAGGCGAGGCAAATGCGACAATAGTCTGGATTTAAATGATAAAAACTTCATGTTTTCGCTTGTTCGTGGGTTACCATGACGGTTTGTTTGTAAACGTAAATACGTAGTCACAGGTGTGACTTGACGTCTGGATGCCAAATGACATTTGAGTCGTCTTGCAATGAACCCGACTGATCCTCAGGGTTGGTGATTAGAAATTTTCAGCGAGAACTGCTATTTCCCAGGTAAGAGCATTTCCTTTTTACCTGATGCTGCTCAAAGTTGTGTGAATGCTAATGTTAGGGTCAATTAAACAAAATTATCCTATCCTACGTTAGACGGATATTGGGCTGGTAACTGCTTCACAGTCCGAATATACTGACTAACTTGGCTAAGCTTGTCTTTTGTCAAAAACGGCATTATCTACAACGCGATTGGTTCCCCACGAATGTATGTAGTAGCTGGAGACTTTATGGTTCCATCGCACGTAAATCGTCGTGATACGAGAATGCACACCCTGTTTCACTCGTGGAACCCCAATTGTTGCCGCAATCGTTAGACCCTCACGTTTTTTTAGTTATATCAACTCATGCGACACCCACGATCGCGTCTTGTCCATTGACTTCAGATGGCGACAAAGTTTCTCATTAATCCCCACCGAAGTCCGTGTTTGGATGAACTGAACACGGTGGATGAGTGGTTGTAGCTGAAGTGGTCGCTTTTACAAACGTGACTAGCTCGGTAGTGCGGTTGACCTCTCAACTTGTTTGTGGATTCAAAGTTACACTCAAAATCACCAACGGAAGCCTCTTGAACGTCTGTAGTTCTGCCGACGAAGCAGTCAACCCGGTGGGAATTGTCGTCAGCGTCGAAACGGTTCAGCCGCCCTACGTTTTGATTGGGCAGTTTCCGTGTCAAGGTCGCGCTTTTGGCGGAGCGGTGCTAGGGTGTGAGGCAGTGCAACTCCAGGCTATGCGTTTTGCCATCCACCAACTCTATCCCATATTGGTTTGTGACTTAAAAAGACGCACGACCTCGCCTGCACAGTTGTGTTTAAATAACTAGCAAACGGCTCTGTCTCCGTCGTCCCAGACCATTACCAGAGATGAGCGACTTGGGTAAATTCATTCACAATTCACCAGGTGTTTTCCATTTCGCTCAGACGGTCTTCTCATCAACGACATGGCCCTGATGACGTCGTCCTCCCCTCTCAACCAAAGCGGTCATCTTGCCCTGACGAATCGTGAGATCAACGACGACGACGACGCCGCTGCGGCTGCCACCTCGCCTCTGATGCTGCACACAGTTCTGACGTCGCCAGAGCAGATTGATCAAAACGACATTTTGGACAGTCTGTTCGCAGATCCCCCTCTGAAGTCCATTTCCTCCTCCATCCCGTCACCCGGAAGCGACATCGGTGAATCCCTCTTGACCGAGCGTTAACCGGTGTTCACTGAGTGAGTCTCCTTTATCATTTCTTTTTCCTCCTGAACCATAAATTCTTTACAAAACACGAAATTTGATAGATTTGGGCTGTGAGCTGTGTGTATGCGTCATCATAGCGTGGCTGAACAGTAGGCCGAACGACTAGTAGAGAGGGCATTATCGCGTGTTGTTCTCCCACGAAACGGGGACCAAGTCTGCAACTTCACCGCCTTGATCACAACGATGACGGCCTCTGGCTGTTGAACCTCCCGATGCATTCACCGGAATCTCACCAGGGCGCGACTGTAGCAGCCGTGAGACGTTGACGCGGTCTGTGTTAATCGTACGTTTGATGGAGCATGTGAACGCCGTGTCTTCGTAACGTATTCACCGTTCGCGCGCTAATCACTACTACCTCTGGTTGTGTACCAAATGCCTCTTTGCTCACGCCCTGTCCTCACTAGCATGCATTTTTTGTTGTACTGTTGGCGTTATTGTGCAAGTTCTCATTCTGTGGCATTTTAGGCTGCTTCCTCTCTTTTCGAAGTGCTGATGGGAAGTCTGGAGTCAGGCGTATGTATATAGACAATTTTTGCGTGCGGGCATGCTTGTTGCACCCTGCGACGCCATCCGCGCGCGAAAGGTCGAGTTGTCGGGCAGTTTGTTGCGGAATTTCCACCGTCGTCTAATCACCCAAGCTCAGGTTCCTCGAGAAAGTCTCCTCCTCCCCCTCCCCCTCCTCTTCCAGCACATTCACTTGTTGGATCCACTTTGAATTGTACAACTTTTAACTCCAAACCCTGTTTATTTCCTTTTTTCACATAATAAACACATTGAAACCGACTTGCCAGTCTCCCTTTTTCCCCAACTCTCGGTGGCGGTGTAGACGATGATGATGGTGATGTTGATTGTGGTCTGACGGTTGTGGATGGACGGTAGACGCGTATCATCTTGCAGTGGGTATTTGCTGAATTGTTCTAACCAATGAGAATTAGCTGTGTGAATACGGGAACGAATGTGAAGCAAAGGTGTTAGTGCGATCAACCAATCATCGTCAAAGAGGCTTCTACTGACAATATCCCTCTCATGACAAACCATTTGCTCTCTGGCGCGTTGCGATTACATCAGTCCCCGCGTGGGTTCTTATACACTCGGAATTGTTAGACAAACAATGCGAAACAGGGGGTTTGCATGCAAGTTAGTGAACAGGCCAGTTGACATCTACGCCCGCATCTTTCCGCCTTGGAATGTGTCAGCCATCTTGAGGTTGCGTCAAGGTCACCCAAGAGCACATTTGATTGGGAGACTGCACGTGTTGACTGGTTCACCGGACCAAAATGGCCACCAATGTCATAGCTACTGCTCACACAAAATCGGATACTGTTGGCGAAGAGCTATAAGTCTTCTTCGTTAAACGACCACACACTAATATCAAAATAGGCTCTAAAATGTTGACTGATTTGAACCCCAAACTGATTTTGCGTTTAAATCTACCAACCTCGCTAAAACAAAATGCTGTAGCTAAGGCTGTTTTTAATCTTCAAACTTGGCTTTTTTTAATTTCCTGATTCGTGAAAGTCAAGCTACTAACAGTCCTGACCACGAGACATGACCTTGTACGTGAAATGACGTGATGGGGAAGCAGAGTTTAGAAGATCAGGTGAAACTCAGTTGTGTTTTTGTGTCTTGCGTGCATTCAACGTCGTGGAAGGGGTTATGTTCACAGCCGAATGAGAAAAAGACGATGACGACTGAGGTAGAGGTGTTAACAGAAGAGAAACACGGTTATTTGGAAGGCCGTGACCTATGTTAAAGATAAGCAACCAACCAAAGACGAGGATGGACAAGAAAGACTATAAAATGAGTCCCGTAGGTAGCGTATAGGGTTTCTGCTGGACGGCATCTTACGGAAGGTTCTGACCTGTGTTTGGTCAATTAAACCTATTTGAAGCCACCTGTTTCCTGGCCGTTTTCGGGCATGAAGACCAAAATCGTCAGATGACGCCTCCTTTGTCACTAAGTCGGTTGTTAGAATGAGCAGATGATGACTAGACCACCAGTTCAGTCAACTCACTTCATAAATTACTAAACTAATTCACCCGACTGCGGATGTGATGTTTCCTCACTGCGAACCTTAGAGTGCACGCGACTTGTTTCCGAAAAAAACATTGTTGGTGCATAGTTGTAGTTCCCTCTTCAGATAGTGACCCAATTACGGACACTCGTTATTTTAATCTTGCTGAAAGCCAAAAGAACACCATTTTTAATTTTTGTTATTTGGAATCTCGTAAAAATCACCCAATGGAAAATAAAGCGCTGTCATCTCGTTATAAATCGGTTTAAGCACCATACAAAGTGGTTTTTTATTACGCTAAACGGCCACGTTCACGCGATGCTGAAATCACCCATTCACAAATCGATTAAATCATGAGTTATCGACCGTGTCGTGATGACGGCGCAAAAAAATCAATAAAAATTGATTTTCTGCGCAGCCGAGCAACGCCCGCGTCAAGTGTAGGCGGCGAATTTCGATGCTGATTAGAATGAACCGCACTCCGAGATAAACTGATTTGAGTTTTACAAAAAAGACAATTTTTAAATGTGATTTAAATTGCAGCGTGGGTAGCTTATTCTTTTGGTTAGATCATGTCAGTTTGG